TACAGTCCCTGTCCTCTGGCTCTGGCTGGGTGTAGCCAAAGCAAAGCACAGGCAGCAGACTGGCTGAGGTGGGAGGGTGCCATCGAGGTGCTTATTCCTGCAGCTCCCTCTGTTGGGGCCACCGTGGGCTGGCTGCAGTGCCACTAAAGGTCATACCTCCAGGCAGGCCATCTCTCTCCGGAGTCCTGGGAACCTCTTCTAACTGAATCTTCTGCAACCCGAGTGTAGCATGTAGCCCCAGGGGACCACAATATTCCCTACAGTCTCCCTACACCCAGCTCACATCTTTGAAAAAAAGATCACTTGATTAAATGATCCTCAAATCACCCTATTTGAAAGCCCCATCTGTTTCCTGCTGGGACTCTGACAGATTCCAGAAGGGGAGCCTCACTTGATAAAATCTGCCACCCCTGAGATCACTTCCTCTCCTTGGAGTAAATTCCTTCCAGGAAGCACCCTCTCGAACTTCCACGTGGGGGATGCTCGGGCAGTCCTGAGATTGCCCCTTGTCCACAGTCCACGCCCCAGAGCTACTTAAAAGTAAAGAACTCTTTGTTCTGTTTCCCCCATTCATTTCCCTCCCTTTCACTTCCTTTCATTTCTGCTCCCTGGAAACCCCCACTGTCCCTATTACTAAATTCTAAACAGAATCATTTGGAAGAAAGAGCTTATTGAGCCAAGGTTTCTCTTTCATTATTTCCTTTGCAGGCAGTGCCCTCCCTCCTTCTCTTCCCTTTAATCTTCTCTGTTCTCCCTGGCCTGGGCCTTTGTCCTCCACTCTGGCCTCCAGTGCTCTGGGTTCCTTAAGATGCTAATCACACCCAGTTTTCTTCTTGTGCCAAGAGTATTTCTATTTATCAAGCCAGGGCAGACTTTGCCTCTGGGAGGGACACACACACAGGCAGGGACACTTTCCCTTCCTGGGGCTGTTTCTCTTTTCCTTTTTTCATTTCAATTCCGGGACTTTTTTTCTTTCTTTCTTGGTTCCCCTTCGTGTCTTGTTCCTCTTTTGGATGCACTAGTTTCCTTGGCACTGTCCCCTCTCAGTACTGAGAGCAGACCGGGCTGGCTGCAGAATTACTGACTTTTAAATTAGAAAGGAGATTTTGGCTTCTTTAAACCCATCAAGGTGGTGTCATCAGGTGTCTGAATTCCCTCTGCTTCTGTTTGGGTTTCCCCAGAGGATGAGGATTCCAGCACAAGTAGTTTATAGAGGAAGAGAAGGGGACAACAGGAGGAGAGTAGGGGGTTAGGGAAGACAGCCAAGAGAAGGCAGCCCAGAAAGGGTGCGTTTCCAAGTCCATTATCACTGTGGAAGCTGCAGCCTACCCACCATGGGAACTCTGGAGAAAGGTATAGAGGTGGGGGTGAGGTGCTGGGTTACTTCATGGTCCAAGAGAGACTGGAGCATCCTGCCCCCGCTTTGGAGACAGTCCTCAGGCAAAGAGATGCAGACGGGGCAAGACTTGGGTGAAACCAGTGAGGCGCAGGGCACACACTTTAAGGAATTGCTTGCTTTCAGGGTCAGGCAGGCGCAGGGTCCACAGCTGACAGTGAGCAGCCCCTTGGACAGTGCACTCGGGGAGTGTTGCCCACCTCACTCTAGTCTCGGCCCCAGATGCCAGCAGCTGTTACCGCACGAGGAGGCGGTGGGGCCGTGGGTGGAGGCAGGACACCGACAGCAGCTTCTTCCCCTCTGTAATGAAGTGTAATCCCCTTCACCATTCTTCCTGCCGCCTGGAATCCTGCCTTCTCAGACGTGGCTTCCAGAGGGGACAAGAGTGCCCCTTCTCCCCTCGCATCCCAGCTCCACCCTCATCATTCAGGCTCAGTGTTCCTTCCTTACTGGAATATCACTGTGCCTAGAGTCATCTTGATCCAGCCTTCCTCCATCCGTCCTTTCTGGGTGCTCTCTATTTTGGGGGAGAAACTCACGGCTCCAGTCCTTCAGGGTCTTACAGAGGGTCTGTGCTTTCCAACTTGTAGTCCAGTTTACGGAGCACCAGCCATGTGCCAGGTGCGGGGACATGGAGTGCAAGAGAGTCCGGGCCCTGTCACAGGGCATCTGTCCTGGTCAGGAGGTCAGGCAGCCAACAGATAGTCACCCACATGCCTCTCAAGTCGCAACAATGACGAGAACTAAGGAGAAGACATGCACTGTGCTCTCGGAGTGAACAAGGGGGTTTTGACAAGACTTGAACGGTCAGAAGAATTCTCTGAGAAGTGGTGCCTGAACTAAGACCAGAAGAATGAGTAGAACTTAGTACAGCAAAGAGAGGAGGGAAAGGCACATTGATAGAGAGAAGGGAATGTGCAAAGGCCCTGTGTCATGGATGAGCATGGGAAGTTCAAGGTCCTGAATAAAGGCCACTGGGGCTTCACGGAGAGGACACAGTGTAAAGTGAGACTGGAGAGGTGGCTGAGGACCTCTGGATAAGAAGCGCTCAACAGTGAAGGAAGCCATTTGAAAGGTCTTCTGGACGATGGTGACATGATTCAATTCATACTTTGAGGAGGTCTCTCTGGCTTCTATCAGAGATCAGACAGGTTTAAGTTTGGGGGCCGGATTCGATGTGGAACAACCAAGAACAGCAGAGGCCAGGGGAGATCTGATGATGGCTTGGGCAAGGGGACTGAGCACAGAGGATTTGCAGCGGGAGGTCCGGCAAGATGCAGTTTGGACTCTCATCCTTGGCTCCTCAGGCTTTGGACCAGATGCCTGGCCCAGCCCAGATACCCTTGTCTCCTCAGGGAGGCAGGGTCTCTTGACTCTATTCTTACTGTATTTTACTGTTTTTCCTTTTTCTTTTTTCCTATTATTATATTCTATTATAATATTTTATCATTGTACCCATTTTACAGAGAGAAGACTAAGGTTTAGACAGGTCACACGTGGTCTTACAGCCAATAATTCAGTGGACCTCATCTGAATTCACCATCCTATGGGGGAACAGACAAGGGACCAGATATTTCAAGGTAAGGTACCATACCACCACGGCACACGTGGTACTGGAGCAGAGGATGGTGAGAGTGAGCAGAACTTGTGTCCAGAATGTGAGCTCCCTGGTAGCCGAGACCGAGTGTCCCAGTGCCTGGCACAGGGCCTACGCATCCTAGGTCTTAATACACATTTCCTGATTGTTTGAATATCTCTTGCCAACACTTCACTTGTAGGAAATCCCACTGTCTGCATTACTCTCTTCCAAGAGACAAATTATAAGTGTTTTCTGATTAGCTCTACCATTCACAGCTGATTTCTAAATCAGCACAGGAAACAGCTAAGCTAAAACTTCTGTCTCTTTCTTCCTTACAAGCTGCCTGTATCTTACGCTTTCTTCCTCCAAGCTTTTTCTTAGGCAATGTCTAGACAAAGAAAACAAAAACAAAACACTGAACTGTGCTAGAAATGATTCATTATTTAGGCTTTCTTTCTTTCTTTCTTTTTGGCTGAACTGAGACTAAGGGAAGCTTCGTACCCAATGGGTGAGATGTCAAAAGGTCCAGGCTGGCTGCACCACGGCAGACAGAGGCTGTTGTAGACTCTGGTTCTAATCAGAATATGTGCTCAGCATTTTGTATGAGGCAACTCTGCCCTCTCTGTATTCATGTTGTTTTGACGGCTGTGCTCACCAATATTTGGAAATGACCATCCTTGTGTGTGACCTGTGTGTGGTTTGCACTTCCACGGCAGTCTCTCTTTCCCTCTCCTGCCAGCAGTAAATATCATGCACAGTCACAGACAAGCATTGTCACTGCCTTTGTCCCTCACTAGGACCACTGCAGTAGCCTCCTACCTGGGTCCCTCTGCCTCCAGTCTCTCCTAATCGAATCTACCCTCCCAAAGAGCTGCCCTGGTGATTCTTCCAAAATGGACATTGGATGATGCCTCCGTGCCCCAGCCTGGCTTATTCCATGTCCCCACGTGGGTGTTCAGCAAATTTTACTTAAAATAAGGAGGAATGGCGCATCTACACTGCTCAGCAGCGACCCTGAGAAAGTAGCTCTAGGGCTACGAGGAAAAGGCCAGGTACTGTGCCAAAGGTTTTCTGTATCTTTTTCAACCATCCTATCTCTGTCCTTTTCATCATTTCAAAGGCAAGAAAACTGAAACTTAGAGAGGTCAGGTAAACTGCCCAGGGCCCCGCAGCTGGGACGGAACCCCAGGAATTCTGCCTCCAGAGGGCTCTAGCTGCTCCGCCACACTGCCTTCATCAAATCACACACCTAGGGGTGCCTCTAGGAACGCTAAAGCTCACTGCTGAGCAAAAGGCAACGTCCTTCCATGCCTCCCCCAGGTCCACACAGAACATGCTTTCCTCCTGTGGGCACAGTGCCACCAAACACCTGTGCCCAGGTAGGCCCTGAGCGGCAGGCACTCACTGGAGAGCCCCGCCCCCACTAGCAGTGAGGGCTGGCAGAAGTCGTGATGCGCTCAGCCCTGTCTCTTGTGTGAACAGAGTAACCTTGGGCTCCTGTGATCCCTGAGCTGGCTGCCTCCCAAGCCCTCAGACTTAGGCCAGAGTTTCTGGTTCCATCCGAGCATCAGTCCTTGCTTGGGACTCCACCTTCCTGAAATAGCATTATTCTCTCACCTAGGTGTTCATGGGCAGAACCTTGCTCCCACCCCAACTTGCTGCCAAGACAATATTTTGCACAGAGGGCCTGCTGGGAACCCCCGTGAGGCTGGGCCTTCTCCCCGACCTGAGGGATGCTTGAGTGGGCAAGCCCGGGCAAGACCCAGCCTTCAGAGGGTTCCTGGATCTACACCGCCTGGACCCAGCTCTCTGCCTACTCCCTCTGGCTGAGATCAGCCAGGCGCTGTCATCCGGGCCAGGTCTGTCAGGGAGGCTGAGCTAGAGCCCCGAGCTTAGCAAGTGGACCCAAGGCTGGAAACATCAAGGACTATTTGGTAGCGGCCTCCAGGTGACTAAGAGTGCCAGCTTCCTTCCGTCCATGTCCCCAAAGCCTGGCGCCCCCTCCGCCACCAGAGGGACACTTACAGGATATGATGTTGCCGTATCGATTCTTGTTGCGGTTCTCGTCCTCTTTGGCTGTGTCCCACGAGGCTGTCTGCCCCTCCGGTAAGGCCTAAACAGAAACGAGAGAGCGATCAGACTGGCTTGAGACAGGAGCTTGATCTGAGTGCAGACAAGCCGACAGGGAAAATGAGACACACTGTGAGGGGTGACACGGTATAAAGGCTGTGTGTTGTTGGATGGGGCCTGGGAAGAGCACAGACTCGGCCCCTCCCTGACTTACTCACTTGTTCACGAGCTCAGATGTTATTGACATCTTTTGTGTAGCATGAGCTCAAATCTCCAGTAGGGGCATCATTTGTTCATTTGTTCACCTGAAGGATATTTGAGTCCTTTCGCTTGGAGGATATGTGTTTGGCGCTATTCTAGGCACTCGCAGTACAGAGAAATAGACAAAAATCCCCCCTGAGCTTCCAGTCGACTGGGCGATGCAGCAAATGAATAAGCAAACATGTAATTTTAAATAGTGGGAAACGCGCTGAAGAAAATAAAGCAGAGTGGAGAGAGAGTGACAAGAGTTATTTTGGAATGCACAGGCTGGGAGGGCTTCTCTGAGAAGGCAACACTTAATCTAATTCCTTCATGAGGTGAAAAAGCCAGTCACGCCGAGAAAAGTAGGAAGCGTTTTCCAGGCAGAGAGAATGGTGGGTGCCAAGGTGGTGACCAAACGACCCTGTTCAAGGACGAGGGTCGGAGAAAGCAGTGACAAGAGCGTGTGGAGAGACAGGGAGAGTTCAGGGCGCATATGCACTGTGGTCATTAGCGGCGAGTCGGGCATTATTCTAGGTGTGATGGGAAAACATGAGAGGGGTTTGAGCAGGGCAATTAGCTGATTTATTTCACATTCTATAAAGTGCATTCTGGCTCACGGATGGGGAGGAAGAGGGGAGAGCAGTTAAGAAGTCATTGCAGTAGTCCAGGCAAGAGACCACGGTACCTTGTACCGGGATGGTGGCAGTGGAAGTAGTGAGAAGTGATTATTTGCAGGATGTTCAGTTGAATATTGTAGGTTTTGGTCTCCCCACAGAAGCGGACTCAGAAACAAGGATTCTGGTATGAGATTTATTTGGGAGGTAATCATAAGGAGCATGGGTGGGAGAGTGGGAAGTGTTAGACAAGCCAGGGAGGTAAGCCATCAGTGAACAAGGCACCACTGCACCTGGGGCTTAATCCCATAGGCCCATCTCGTGCCTCAGAGTGGTCCCCCAGGGAGGAGAAGGGAGTTGGGGTGTTTACCCTCCAGTTCCCATCTATCATTGGTTGAGGACAACTCTTAGGTAATCCCTGGCCTTCGTCATGCTCTGCAGGCAAGGCATGCATATGCCTTTTGTCTTCAGGAAGCCCTCCAGCAAAAAGTCAAAGGTGCTTCCAGAAGGAAGGGTGGGCATACACGGGACCAGTGAGTGTAGATGTGGGCAGGGCACAACACACGTACTGTGCACATGGACTATGAAGGACAGAGAGGGACAAAGGCTGACTCTCAGGTTGTCGGTCTGAAGAACTGAGTGGAGAGTCTTGTCTTTGACTGAGGTGGAGAAGAAGCAGATGGGGAGAAACAGGTTTAGGGAAGCGGGAGCTAAGGGTTGTGTTTTGGATATGCAAAGTGCTCAGAACCGTGCACAGTACTTGCTCCTTAACATGTTCAAGCAGTAAGAACAACTGCATCAGGGTGAGCCACGTTTGAGATGACTATTCGACATCCAAGCTGAGATGCTGAGTAGGAAAGTGGACACAGAGGGCCAGAGTCAGAGCTAGAGGGAAGGAAGAAATGGGCTCATGAGTTTAAGAGAAGACAGACAAGTAAACAACCACGTGGAGTGACGGAACAGAGTTAGGACCCAAGTGTTATGGAAACACAGGGGAGGGTGCAGTCTCTTATCTCCCAGAGAAGGCAGGCGGGCATTTAAGGGAACAGGAACAGCTTCAGAACAGCTGCAGAAGCATGAAGGTCAGACCACATCTCACAGAACAGAACGGATGCCCTGCCCACAGCCCATGCACTGCTTCTGAGACCGAATTCACAACATCTTCAGTCTATACAGCTTCCTGCAGCCAGTGCAGGGGAGAGGAGCTTCCAGTCATCTGAATGCACCAGCCTTGACGTTGCCCACCTATTCCTCACCAGGTCCATTATCCTAAGCAAGGAGGAGTCTGCAACCTGATTGGTCAGAAATTCAGCCATTCAGTGGGCAATGTTTTACAGGCAGGCAGGACCACTGTCTATTCCAAGCCCCAGACCATGTGTGATGTCCCCTTCCTTGCTTCTGGTCTCCCATACATCTTCCAAGCCACTTTGGGTGGGTCTTCTTCTAGAGCAGGGACTGGCAAACCTTTTCTGTAATGAACTAGTAGGCAGTATGGGTTCCGTAGGTCACACGGTCCCTGTTGCAGCTACTTATACCCAACTCCCCTGCTGCAGAGTGAACGCAGTCACGGGCACAATGCAGACAATAGGGCGTGGCTGTGTTCCGAGAGAAGCAGAGGTGCTGGCCTGAATTCAGCCTGTGGCTGCAGTGTGCTGCCCTTTACCCTAGAAGCATGACCGTGATCCTCAACCTCGTGCGGTGGGTGGGGAGGCAGAACTGATGGCCATCCTGCTACTTGGCTATTCCCGACTGAACGGAGATGGGGTGGGAGGTCCTTGCCTGGGCTAAGCCAGGTTCTCCAACTTAGTTTTGCCCACGGTTTTAGCTGGGGGTAAGAGAGTGCCTTCCCAGTTATTAACTGATCAGCATTTTGTTCTTCACGTGTTTCAGAAACTCTTAGGCTGGCACTCTGGAGGAGAAGGAAAACAGGTCCAGGCTCTGCCCTGAATCTGAGCGTGTAAAGAAAGCGCTGTGGAGACAGGGAGGCTCTTGTTCTGCAGACGGAGGGCTTGACTCTTTTTCTGCCCCCCCGTCCCCTCCTTACTCCCCACTGTAACTGCCCATCACGCTGCATCCCTCCTGCACCGGAGCAGGCCATCTGTAGGCTGCAAATGTGTCTTGCTTTTGCAGGTAACTCTCAGAACTTGGTCTCTCCAGCCCTTGGCCTCAAGCTCTCACCCCAGCCAGGTAGCTCTGGCTCTCTTGGCCACTGGCCAGGCCTATATATTCCTGTCTCTCTGCCGGGGTGGGGTGGGCTTGTCTTAGGGGTAGGGCTGGACTTCCTGATGTTTAAGCTAATACTCTAGGGGATGGAATTTCCATCTGAAACCCTCTGAAATAAAAGTCAGCTGTTCTTCTAATCATGTCCACCCCAAAGTGGTGTGAAAACAAGAATAGGAGATTCTGAATATTTTCATACTAATTTTTCCAGAAAAAAATCTGTTGGCTACCTACTCTGCGCCAGGGTCCAGGTTACAGTTAGCTTAAGGTTTTTTATGGCTGAAGCTTTTCTGGGGAAAGCTTTAAAACTTCCAAAGCCATGGCCCTACCCTAGACTATTCATCAGAGTCTAAGGGACCCAACCATCAGTAGTGCTTAAAGTTCCCTGGGTGATTCAACGTGCAGCCATAATTCTTGCAAACAGTGAATTTACCTGGAGGAACACTTCCCCACAAGTCTCCTCACTGGTTTCTCGTGCTTCGGTTTTGTCCCCTCCAATCCATTCTCCTCTGTGATCAGAGAGATCTTTCTAAAGTGTGAACAGGACCCAGTTACTCCCTTTACTGTTAGCTTCAGGGATAAATTCCAAACTCTTTAATACAAGGTCCTTAATGATTTCACCCCACATGTCCCTCCAGACTCATTCCTTGCCCTTAAATCAATATTCCAATGATTAGCACCTAAATGCAATGCCACAGACAATTTTAGGTGTTACAAACTTCTGAGACTGACTATATATACTGTTTCCTCTGCCTGAAATTCTCTTCCACCTGAGTCTGCCTGGTAAACTCCTACATATCCTTCAAAACCCAGTCCAAGCATCTTCTCTTTTGTGAAACATTCTCCACGTACCTCCCCACTATCCCACTGCGTCCCCAGCTATTCAGTCACTTCTATCGGTAGATAGACTCCTTCACATCTGATAATCTGAGTGTCCTGTCTTCCAACCTGGTGATGGGCTACTCCAGGTAAAAGGGTAGCATCTTATTCATGTCTGTATCTCCAGAACCCAATACTGGCTTTATATTTTATATGTGCTCAAATCACCTCTTTTGAATAAGTGAGTTGATTGTTGAAAAAAATTAGTGGGTGAGGTGACCTTGGTGCACACAGAAGGCAAAGATCTTGGAATCTCAGAGGTGTAAGTGACCTTGAAAATAATGTTTGTGCTGCCTTCCACCAGTGGTCTTCTAGGCAGCTGACTGGCTGATTCATAGCTTGTGTTACCTGGATACCCTTAGACTTGGATGCCCTCCGTGACAGAGAGCTCACTACCCCATAAAGCTTCCTGCCTCACTTTTGCACAGACCCACTGGGCAGTTTTTTGTTTACTGTGCCTCCATGTACTTCCTCTTTGCCCTGATCCGTGAGGCCCTACAGAGTAAGCACACACCCTCTGCACGAAGACACTGCAGAGGTTTAATGAAGGTCCCTGTCCATCCTCAGAGTCCTTAAAAGGCACAGTTTGGGAACCCTTTCAACATCCAGGCTGTGCTCTTCAGGATGCACCAGCGTGCAGATAAGCTATGAAAATTCCCAAGAAGTTGTGTTGAGTTGGGATGAGCGGCATTTCTCTGTGGGAGACCACGTCGGCCCCTGGCACAACCCTGGGAGCCTCTGTCTCCCCACTGGTGGGGGATGATGGAGAATGTGCAGGCCCGGGGCTGTGATGATGTTGACAAAGGCAGAGAGGCAAGACCTCGTGGAGCCACCCAGGAGTGAGCGGTAATGACCCCCTCATTTGCAGACTTTGATCACACATCCATTTCCCTTTTTAGGGAGCTGCGATCTAATAGGGGATAATCTTATGAAGGGAAAAAAATACGAGGGGGTAAAAGTCTGAAAGGGACACTCATCTCCATCTTCAAAGTGAGCCAGCCGAGGGGCATTATTTTTACATTAGTGGCTCGTTACAGTAGATTGACCAGGGAATGGTGGCAGTCATTAGGAGCTAATCACATTCTTT